AGCCAGTAAGGTGTAGCAAAGCAAATGGTGGTTGTTATCATGACCAATACGGGTTGTGTTTATTCTACTGCTCGTGCAGTAAAGCACAGTCACCGGAGACTGATTCACCATTCACCGTCTGCCGAAAGCGCAGGATGCTGTTGCCAGATGTGTATCCAAGGATTCGTGCACGAGGGACCTTACTGTATCCTGACAAAGCACCTTCACACCGGTCCCATGTCGTCGGCAATTTTCTGGTTAGAGAACGCACCCACCATTCGGTCCAGATCTGGCTCCGCGTGATATTTAATGTTCCCGAATGTGTCAAACACATGATGGGTGGAATCCGGAGCGAGTCACACATAGCTCCAGTGGAGGCCTTTATTGAACTGATCGACAGTTAGTTATCCGCTTTGGTATGGTCGAACTGTTTCACCAAATGGTTGGAACTGCAAACGAACGCTGGTGGAGAATAATTCGAACAAATGTATTGCCTATTTTCATTTAAAAAAATAAAACATTTTGTGAGTCGGCAAACGTTTGTTCACCCGTTGTAATGTAGGATAAATGCGATACGTGGTTGCCCTAGATCTTTCCGTGCTTCAAATGAATAGACCGGACATTTCTCGTTTTTCGTAACAATTTTATAACTAACTCCTGCCAAATAATGATGGATTAGTCTCTTGCATGTCTACAAACTATAGCACCCACAGACCATCTCATTTGGGGTTACGCCTCTGATTTTTACTCATCAAACAAATTCCTGAAAACTAGTTGCCTAACGTCCGTCAGAGGTACTCGATCACGTGAAATAATGTACCCCAAATTCGACGATGTTCCGTAATTCTCAATTGAATTGATTCCTCTGTGGTTTACATAGGTTCGGTTTTAATTGTGATCCGACTAATTTTTTGTGCCCTCACCGTATCAACAGATCAGATTTGTGCCATCTTCAGCATCCCACTGTCCCCACTGTCCTATGAAGGAAGACATTTCGAGGACATCACCTGAGAAACGTGTCCCAGAAGTGGAACCACACTTTGTCAATTTACAATTGTTCCCAGTCCCCTTGACCTTGAGAACTGCTACCGGCCAATTGTTGTCACGGTGATGTGTGCCGGGACCATTTTATATGTCATGTACAAGCGTGACCCGTGACTGTAACATGTGAGGACATGAGCAAGTAATTGTTTGCTTGTTTGAGCTTTTGTCCCCGGAATTCGATTGAAATGCGCGGACAGAAATAAAACTACAAACCATCCGGTCTCCGTCCAATCATCATTTACAATCAACGCCCTTACTTCTGTGATATGGTATAAACTAAAACAAAAAATGGTAGGCAAAAAAATGTCATAGTAACAGAAACATTTTGCTTATAAACAACGAATGCGTGAATCGCTGAGCTTTAGCTGAACCAGTGAATACATTGTGGTACGTTCGTGCTACTCCTCTGGTGTCACGTATTTTGACCATTTCTATAGTAGCACATTTCTTTGACAGCATTTAATCCTATTTTAATGATATGAATGAGTCATACCAATACGAATAGAATACAGTAACTTTTTTTGTTTGTTTAAAACCTTCCGGATTTTGTGCAGCGTAGCTTGTTAACAACTGTGAACGGGGAGGGGTGTGTGTGGATGAGAACTGTGTATGAGAAACGCAGTCGTGTGGTCATTTTCTAACTTGTTTCATTGTGGACTATCCTGTACAGTATATATGATATGGGAGTTGTATATAATGCCACTATTTGGGCTTGTTATCGCATGTACCAGTACCGATCAGAATTAACGAGTTCCAGTTGTTCATATGCGAGAGCTGAGCAAACAAACAAAAACAAAGCGTTTCCGGCATACGCAGTCAGTACACAAGTACGAGGTGTGGATAGATGACCGGGCAAGGAAAACGTGAACTGTAGTATCACACTGTTCAGCGATTGGAACTCACACACAGAACTAAATATNCATAGCCAAGAGCTCAGCTCACAAGTCATACTCGGACTGTTGTAAGGATGGAACTCAGTCGATGTCACTGCAGAGCGATGATGATTTCCTGCGACTACAAATGTGGTTTAAAGCAGCGGCAGCGGCAGCAGCAGTAGCAGAGTGTTGATTGTTTGTGAGCTGTCTTTGGTGATGACGAGCCTTCAAGAAGTACTGTGTTCGGGTATCAGGCGGATGATTGTATTGTATTGCATTGTACTGTGTTTCGTATTTGAAGCTTTAGCGAGTTATATACAAGCTTTGGGACGTTAAACGTATAAAAAATGAGACAATTACTAAGTGCATTAGAAATACCAGAACGAACATTTTCTTTGTCGGTCAGTATCCGGCCCAGATAGAAGAGCTTCTGTACTTAGAACGGGTGGAGTGGTGGGATTTGCATGCACACATGTCAGTGTGTAAAGGATGGGTGCAATCAGATAGGATATTGTCAACAAACTTAAAGCACGCATCAATGTGGGCATTACACATAGTGCCAATTAGATTAGATAACGGAACTTGAGACATGGCTAATTATTGAGAGGCCACGCCTCAGCAACTTGAAATCGGCCTTCAGAAAACCAGAGAAAATTAGAGGAGAGCAGTACAATGGTATAGGGAGGACACATTATGGAACGAAAGCGTTTATCATCGACAAACCAGAACAGAAGTGGCGCAATCTTCTTATCTGGAGAGACTTTTCAACTTGCGAGTAACAGTTTGGGTATGTAAGGACCAGCGAAGGTCACTTTCAAGTGTGACACCTAAGTACTTCACATGCCTGATCCCGCTCTTCGGCTTTCCATGAATCTGGACATTGTCGGAGGGAGATGGGGTACGATTTAGAGTAAAAATACATTCAAGGAATTTTTCGGGATTAAGATTAAGACCGAATGAAGTGGACTATGAAACGAGGTGAGATAGGTTTGTGTTAGATTCAACCAGTTCTGATCGGTTAGATAAGGAAACAGAAATGACGATGTCATAAACATAATTATACTGTTGTATAAGGGCAGTAATAGGTAAGTCACTAATATACGTCGTAAAACAATAAGGTGATAGGACAGCACCTTGAAATATACCCGAACTATTGAGTGATGCGGTCTTTTTGTCAATTTAACATACTGATATCTCTGCAAAAAGTAATCAGCAAGCCATTCAACAAGAGAAGCGGGATGATCAAACGATCGGAGCGTTTTAAGAAAAAGAGAACGAATCGGCGAGTCAAACGTGGAAGAATAGTAGAAAAATGCACAGTGCACAAATTTGGCTTTCTCGTTTAGGGACTTACAGATAAAATGAACTAGAAAACAAACGACATCCAATGTACAATGTGAAGTCTGATGCAAGTTACCAACGGTTGCAGTGGATGCTTTTATTGAGCTGGTCGACGAGTAGTTACCCGCTTCGGTATGGTCCAGTTGTTTCACCAAATGGTGTGTGCATGAACGCTGATGAAGAATACTTCGAGAACATGCAATTGTTGTGCAACCAAAGAGGCATTTTGTGCATCCGGAAACCCTCCCATGAACTTCAGAGATCTGAAATGGCCAATTTACCCGATAGCCGCAAAAGTGGTCCCAATAGGTGTCCTATTCACTTCAGTCGAACGTATCCGATCTAAGCAAGTCTAAGAGGAGGTAATCAGCTGCAATATAAATTTCAGACATCACATTTTCAATTTTGTTCATGTGTTTCAAATGTTGAGAAAAAAAATGAAAACATGCAATGGGTATGGGAACCATACTTCACCGAGAACTGATCACAGCCAATTCCCCATAACAGTTTGCTTTTTTTTCTATGAATCTATCACTTTTATAATCGTTTCGTCATATAGATATATCACTTTTTCCCATTTCATTATTGTAAACTGTGTGTGCAAAACAGTGCATTGTGATCGGCCATAGTGTTCGAATGCCTCACATTGTCCAAGTGGTTGGTACCACTGTACACCGATTGTCCCTACTGACCAGAGCGGTTTGCAATGTATTTATGGTTCGATGAGTGTCTCCGTACGGGCTAAATGTAGACACCGGCAATTGGATGTGTACCTAGATTCTTTTTCTGTATCATTTTGTGGATAAAGTAATGATACAAGGGAAGGGAAACGACCCATCAAAGAACTGCAGTACATAGCAAGTGAAAAAATGTAGGTGGCGGCGATGGTCACAAAGTCAATTCTGGAAATTTCTGATGANGACCTTTTTCATGTGCAATTTGTCAAGCCATGTTGCATCATCACGACATGACTGAGGTCATGGTTTTGATTGTCACGTCGGTTTAGTTGGGGCCAACGCAACTGGAGTTTGGCTATCATTTTTTCTGCTTGCACAGTGATGGGTTCATGATTTTGATTGCTACAGCTTTTGCTGTTACCAGGTGACGTTTTCGAAAGTACTTCGACTTGTGTTTGGGGCACTTTGTAAATGACTTTAAATGCATCATTGTCTGGCTGATGCCCGGTATCGGCGAGGTGGATCATAATCGCACTGGTTATTGCTTTCTTGCAACCCGTGCTAAGTCAAGCCAGTTTATGTTCTCGGATCCTTTGTGAGAACTGTCTCATCGTTCGTTCTGCATAACTTGCTGAACATGTGCAAGTGTAGGAATATGTAATCATCGATGAGGAGAGAATGGATAGCTTACCTCTGAAGTTTGTGCAGAGCTGTGACCCGCTTGTAAACATCACACGTACAGTGGCTGCTGGACATGTTCGTGCAATTGTTTTTTTCCAGACGTTCTTAGAAGCGACAGAAATCCGAATCATTCCTTGATTCACGCACGCATCGACTAGAGGTCACCTTTCTTAGTGGTGGTGGTGGTGGTGGTAGGATTCCAATTATTGAGCTCTCTCGGTTTTGATACCTACTTGCGTCACTTGAACACCGCAGCTCAACAAACGAAATAGAGAACTGTCAGAGCTGCTTTGTAGATGGAACTATGTTGGAGCGCATCTTCTCTGAAACAATTTATGATACATTTTTCCGGTTCAAATGTTTCACAGCTGATAATGTCCCCTGTCCCGTTCTGTATCAACAGGCTTGTCTACATCGAAGGATCATGATCCAATCACTTCTCATCGGTCTGCTAATCGGCGTTCCAAGTATCTGGGCAAATATCACTCAACCCTCTGCGTTGGCAATTCTGGCTCCTGGATTTGAGGAGATCGGACTGACCACTGTCGTAAGTGTGTTGCGTCGTGAACAAGTTCGGGTCGATTTAGTTTCTTGGGAGGCGCATGAAGGAGCGGTTCACGGTGAACAACATATCGGTGTGGACATCGATTCCCGATTGCCTCCCAAAAATAGCACTAACTACGGGGTGGTGATTCTACCGGGTGGACAAATGGCAGCCGACAAAATGAGCAAGAACCGGGCCCTGGGAGATATGCTAACCAAGTATGCACTGACCAGTACGTATGTGGCTGCCATTGGTGAGGCCCCTCTCGTTCTTCAAGCATTCAAATTGTTCACGGGCTATAACATCACTGCGAATGTGACTCTGAAAAGTCAATTGTCAACCAATTATACTGTCCTGTCTAAAGCTACATTGGTCAAGTGTCAAAATCTAATCACAGTTTCAGGATCTGCATCGAGTTTTAGTCTGGCTGCTAAAATACTGAAGTATTTGTTCCCGAATCAGAACAAAGATATTGAAATTGCTGCTCAACTATCTTTCCCAATAGACTTCAGCACCGAAGTTGTCTATCCGTAATCATGGACCGAAATGATTTTGCTGACTGGTAAATGTTCTAATCGTAGTTCTGCGTTTCTGTGTGTGTGTGTGTGTGTGTATTTTGATGTTTGTTCTCGTAGCAACCTAATTGTCTCTCCCTAATGTCCGCTTTGCAATGGTTCAATCAGTTTGATAACGCGTGTCTAATTTCTCTTGTTCTCTTCCTCACTCTCTCCCTTTCATTTGACTTGAATCTATCGATCGGGTGTCTTGCCCGACTTCTATATGAGTTTCATAATGGCCGTAGCAGACCGGTGTTTCTGGCTGAACGTTCGGAAGGGCTAGCATGACTTCGATCGTCGAGCCTTCGGGGGTAGTTCTGTATTTATATTTGAAACGCTGTTGTGACCGTTTCTAAAAGAAAGCTAATAACCTTTTGAAATGGAACGGCTTCTTTAGTGCAATTCCTGAATTTCGTCATTGTCTTTGGTCGTGAATTGCGACAGCTCCGCTATGAAAGTAGACCATGTCAGTAGGTTGTGATTATCGTATCAGAACACTAGGGTTATTGATTAAATTAAAATACTGATTTAGAGACCATTGGAGGGTGTCATTTTTGAGAGTGAGGTGATCCCATGCAAATAATAATAAAACCGTTCAGTACTAATCACAACTTGAGATCGAATAACCTTAAGTAATAATTGGAATTGTCTGAGCGATCTTTTTTCGTTCTGAGCAATATCAGTCAGTGCATTTAATCATTATAGATAGATTTTTGTTGCGGAGACGGGCGTGTGTGTGTGTGTGTGCGGTTAGAATTTTTAGTGGCTGGAGAAATAGATTAGGCGGGATTAAGAATAGGACAGATTGATTTGTCATAACTCCGACCGTTGAGGATATTGTACGATCACAAACACTGCGATCAGAGTAAGAGTATTCAAGGGAGATAATACAATTCAAATACATTATTTTCGCAATGGATTGGAGAGAGAGAAAGAGATGGATGGATGAATCCCTCCAGACGTAGTAAAATGAGATGAAACTTTCATATATAAAGTTAAACTGTGATGTTTTGTATGCACCAGGTCATATAAACATATATAAAATTGAGGAACCGGATTAATCATTTGATCTACGTTCCTCATGACCATTTCAAGGTTCAATGTGGTGTGCATTTATCGGTCATTTACTATTCCCCACCTGCAACCTGAGTTAAAGGTGCGACAATGCAAATACAGTAATCTCAGACAGACTGATGCAACTATCTATATCTTTTATAGAANAGAAGCCCAAATGTGTACGTCAAACAACCTGTCCATGCCACCTCCCATCTTCCTCAAAACAAGTGTTCAGTGACATGCTCGAACCAGAACCGCATACAACCAAACTTAGTTGCTCACAGCGTCTAATTTGATTTAATTTATCGTCTATATTAGTTACATTTATGCATATTCTCGTCTGACTTCATTGTCTGTTTTCGTTTACTGTATGACTGCATCAAATGGAGACAGTTACAATACACCTACCCTGCGAGTTGTGCTTCGATCGGAGCGAACAACACGTTACCGGCACATAATTTGATGACTGATATCCAAACATGGGAAATTTTCATTCTGTATCCGTTCTCGAGGAGGAATAAGTTTGTCGATTTGGTCCAAGCTCAAATGTTTGCACATGAATTTGATCGATTTCTGTGGAAACCTTGAGATAATATTCTTTATGTAACTTTTTCCACGCAACCTAGAAGGTCATGGATAAAACGATAAGATTGAAATTCACCATTCCGGATTGTTCCGTAACGGAGATCAAAATAAATCTATGTTGCTCAACGAGGTTTCAGTGGATCACCCAGAGCCCCGTACCAACAGGGAAAAACGTACACGCAAATTGTTGCACTCGTTTGACGCAGTTTGAAATTCCATCTAAATTGAACCCAAAATGATTGGCCTACTCAAAAACGTAGATAGTAGTTAAAGTATTTTCTTGAAATTATCAGTGAAAAAGGGGTCAGAAACGCAAGTGGAAATTTGAATGACGGAGGCCAATGCTCAACCACAAATAGGTATTGATCCACTTTTACGAATAATTTTTTTAACGAATGAAACAATCTGAAGTGTCTGCGGTTCGTGAGCTGTACCAAAAATCGTATAAAACCGCTCGTCATATTCATTCTGTAACAACAGATTTGCGGATTAGCAAGCACGTAGGGGAAAAGTGAAGCGTGAATTGCTCAACCCATGCGAGCAATGTAACTGGACACAAAACTGAACAACAAAACCGATGTCATAGTTTGTGGTAGGCAGCTGTTTGAGCGTGGGAAAAATCCGCGGAGCAAAGAACTGGCCATCTCTTCCGATATCAACTGGGACACGATTACCAGAGAAAAGTTGAAACTGTCCAACGTGCTTCGAGCACTGATCAGGGGCATATCGACCACAATCGAACCCCCTTTCAATTCATACTTGTACTCCAGTTGGGCTTGAACTGTCGGATTAACGGTGATATTTTTCCCCATATATATTGAATGATAGGCCAAGACCACCTGAGCGCAATCCAGTGCCGCAATCGTCCGATTTGCTTCCTCGTATTCGTGCAGGACACGAGTGAGGGCGGGACAGCTGATCAGGCTCCCGTACGATTGTGCAGTGGCGGTCAAAATTAGCACATCACAAAGTGTAACGCTTGCATTGGGCAACGTGTGGTTCACATTCACTGACAGTCCATGGGCGCCGATCACCGTCGAGGTGGATTCGGGCAGTCGGGCCAATGTAACCAGGAAACCCGCTCGGCTGAGCACATCGAGAATGGTGACCAGTTGGATCTCTTCAAAATTCGATTCGACAATGAGTAGAGCAGTTTTCAAACCGGCAAGAATGCACGAAACTTCGCACAAACACAGAAGACTGATCAAATATTTAGCAAAACGTTGCATGTCGGATCAATGCTGCGAAACATTTACATGAAGAGTATATCAATGAATGAGAATTTTAAGACCAAACTGCATTTGGTTTATTCATTTCCATCATAAATAGTTACAAACAAGTGTTTTATTAATATTAATGAGTAAAACTATCCTTCCAGGCAAAACTGAAGAATCCCATACAATCCACTTTCATCTGATTTGGAATGGTCAGTACTGGTCTGGCGGCTGAGGTCACCAAGTTATCGCCATGGCGGTCAAGGGGTTTAAAAACCCCACTGTTGCCTTTCTTTCCCTGTTTTACATCTATCGTATGACAGCCCATTGAGTGGCCGCTTCCAATTTCTTGAAAATAATTTTTGCAATTATACATTCAACAAAAGGAAGTAATATGTTAAAAGAGCAACGGAAATGGTGAAAATAAAAGTGAAAAAGCTTTTTTTGCGGTGACTCATCAACTGGCTAATACAGTCACATTTGGATATCACATCATTCTGTATAGAAAAGAGGATACAAAACTAATGATTATTCAAATGGGAATTGTTGTTATTGTGTTCTGTCCCAATTTCACAAAACCGGA